CGCCGGAAGCGACGGCCGGTCTCTGTCCCGATGGTAGCCGATCACGGGCCCTCCGGCCGGTGAGTGTCCCACCAGCAGCCAGCCTGAGACCCTCCGGCCGGTCACTGATCCATCGGCGGCCGATCACGGGCCCTCCGGCCGGCGTGCGTCCCGTCGGCCAGCGTCTGTGCTGGCGGCGTCGGCCGATCCGAGCCGTCCGGCCAGTCACTGATCCGTGACACGGTCACACGGCCGACGGACGGAACGGCCGGCCACCTGGCGTGCCAGGCCCATCGGGGCCATTACAGGATCAGCACAGCACACAGTGACCAATGGAGGACTAGCACAGCACACAATGGTCATTGGAGGTCCAGCACACCACACAGTGGCCATTGGAGGACCAGCACAGCACATAGTGGCCATTTGAGGACCAGCACAGCACATAGTGGCCATTTGAGGGCCAGCACAACTCGGTCGTTAGGCACAGTACCGACTCACGAAGAAGCTCATTGCTCACAGTCACAAATAGCTCGGCACAGGTGAAGAGGGCGCAGCATACCACACAGACTACTATCGATTCCGTGCAAATATATGCAGATAGACAGACACCGACGATAGCGGGCAATTACCCTAGCATACAGAGACAGACTCTATCATCAACCACGCTCAAACACTACGGGCCGTGACACACATGCCTACACCTACAGCCGCGGGTCAGCCAACACCGAGTCACTAAACTGGGTTTATACACCGACAGCTGGGTCACGCTCACGACCTGTGTCAGTGACACAGCGACGCCCTAGGGGCGGTCACCGATGGGTAGAGACGGGGAGACCGGAGAGGTGACTGGCGAGGTCAGGACGACAGGTCTCCACTGGGTTGTCTGGCACGACATGCAGGTAATAGGTGGTGGGACGGCACTGCTGACAGGGGGGGGGGGGGGATCTTCTGTAGCGCAGCGGGAACGGTGCGGCTGGTGAACAGATCACGGTCTTGAAGTAACTTACGAGCATATGTACAACTTGCGAGTTTGTGATTTGTCAAACCCCCTCCATTTGAAAAAAAAAATAATCAGATAGGTAAACGTGTGAGTGCTGATTATGGTGCTCGAGCTAGCTACTAGTTATACATGGCGTAAGTCTGGAAACAAATACGGCTGCATAAGTGAGTCAATGGAGCTAGGAGCTTATAGACCGTAGAATCTTTGTGCGAACTTATTCAGTGCCAGTTCTTTAGATACTATGTATAAGCAGCGCTATAAAGTCGTCGAGTTATCTGCCGAGGCCGGAGGGGCCGTGTCACTGATGAGGCCGACCCGTCTCCGGCCGGCGGAACAAGGCCGGCGGGTGCGGCCGGTCGCCCCGTCGGCCGGCCCTGACCGGTCCAGAGGGCAGCAGCGGCGCTGCGCAGCGACCGCCGCGGTATCGACCGGCCGCGGGCGCCGGCGGCGGCGGCCGTGTCCGCTGCAGAGGTCACAGCGGCGGCGCCCGCCCGACCGCGCAGAACCGAGCCCGGCCGGCCGAGCTCCCTTTCGACGGCCGGCCGCCTGAAACCGAAAGTGGCCGCCGGCCCGGTCCGGCCCGGCCCGCCGGTACACCTGAACCTACCGACGCCGGGCCGGGCGCGGCGGGCGGCCAGTGTTTGCTGACCGGTCAGGACGCCACCCGCGCCCTTCACCTCCGACAAACAGCTCGGCCAGGAACCGGGTCAGCCCGGCGCTCCCACGCCCCGACCCTCGGCTGGCCTAAATACTTGTGTTCTGTGGTCCGACCGAAAATACCGAAGCGCGGAAAACATGGCGCGCGGGTCGCCGGCGGGGCGCAGAGGGGCGCCGCCGGAGCGGTCAGCGGCTCTCGGCTCGGCGGCGGGTGCCCGGTCAGGTGGCGGGACGGGACGGGAGAGTGGACGCGCCCGGGTGGGGGCGTGGGAGCGGCGCCGGACGGCAGACAGGTGCTGCGGCTACCGCCGACCGATCCGTACACACAGCAGCGTACACAGAGTGGCACAATGGACAGACGGTGGCCGCGCCGCGGAGACCGAATCCAGGCCGGACCGCGGCGGAAACAGGGCCGCCGGCCGCTGGGAACCGGCGCTCCAGCCTCCAAGCCGCCCGAAATGAATGGAATACGAGCCGCACACTGAACTGGGCCTTCAAATCAAAACACAACCGCACAAAGGTGGGCCAATGGGCCATTTATGACTCATTCGACATTCTCAGTGACGACTGTGCGATAGTCGCCGGGGAGCGATCTCTAGGTTAATCCCCGGGGTTATCTAGCAGGCGGTCGTCGGGTGCCTCCCCGGGTGGCCGACACGGCGGGGGCCCCCAGGGGCCGCTCACTGTCAGCCTGCCGGTCAGTCACGTGACCGCGCCCGCCCGCCCGTGTCCGGCCGCCGGGGTCGGTCACGTGACGGGACCGGTTGGCGCCGGCCGGTCGGTCTGACCTCGGAGATGGTTCTCGGGGCGTCTCCCCCCCCCCCTCCCGCCGGAGGGATGGGTCGTCGGCGGGCCGCGGGCGGCGGCTGACCTCGGGCCCGGGGTCGGCCGGTCCGGTGGTCACGTGACCGGGACCGGTCCGCCGCGCCGGCGAGCAGGCTGACCTCGGCGGCGGCTGCGAGTCGCAGCCCAGCCGTGACCTCCGGCCGCCCGCCGGTGGTGCAGCGCGGCCCGTCCGCGGCGCGGCGCACCGCCCCGGGCGCGGGCCGGCCCCGGCACCGACTGTGCAAACAGCTGCGGCCGGCACCGGGACGGGACGGGCAGCGGCTCACCGCCCCCCGGTCGCTGCACGCGTATCGCGCCGCCGCTGGCACCGGCCCAGCGCCGCCGTCCGTCCACCGGCCCTGTATGACACGGCACGGCGCACGGGGACGGCAGGGTAGCGGCAGATCATCGGCTGACGCACGCGGCCACCCCGCCATCGCCGGCGGGCTCCGGCGGGCTCCGGCTGCCGGTGCGCTGCCGCAGTCAGAGCTCATCTATCGTGGAGTCGAGCTGCGACACAGCTGACTGGCGGCGAACATAAAACTAACACCGGCCCGGCGCCCCAACGCCGCAGCCCTGAAAACATTGCGAAAGGACGGCTTTGAACAGCTTTGACGAGCGTCCAGCGAAGGATTGAACCGAGGTTTGACTGGGCACTATCAACTCACTTGCCATGCTGAGTCCAGTGTCTACCCAGTCTTAGTTTCGAAAAATCAACTAGACATTGGTGACAATTTGCAATCCTCCCGTCACGTAATCCTCCTGTCAACAAAAACCCAGCAATATTTCAAAAAGAAAAAAAATGTTAACCGATGTGTTGGTCGGTAACAGGCGGTCACCATGAACCCACAAAGCGCGCGTCCCATAATACGACACAAGCCATGCTGTCGCTGATGCTGAACATTATCGTCCGTCCGTGTTTCTCGTGTGTTAGCTGTCCAGCCTGCTCAGCTGGCTTATCCCCGTTCGCTGTTGGTATCGTTATCTTGTTTGCGCTGTTTGGCAGCGGTGACATCTCTCCCGTGACGTCACTCGCCTGTGGATAGCCTGTTGAGGTCTCAGCGGTCGAAGGCAGCCCCCCCCCCGCCCTGAGGAGTCCAGCGGTCAGTCCGTGCGGCGCTGACACCGATCCCCGCTGGTGAAGGGAGAGACGCCGAACCGGCCGCGGTGGAGCCCGACAAGCTGCCAATTCGCCATGACAGGAGAGCCTGAGATCGGGCCGGGTCAGGTCAGGGCCGGTGGGTCAGCACCCCAGCCACCTCTCTGAGAAGCGCCCGCCGAGCTGACACTATCGGAAATATCGACTGGCTATGCGTGATGCGCTCAATTACCTCTCACTGGGCATTTCCCTGTGATAGCCTGGAATGGGTGGCCGAAAGTACAGAGAGACTTGAACCACATGACACGACCAAGATAAGAGTTCACGAAAGTTTCCAAACTAACGGGCCGGTGCAGTGACCTGGCCAACAGTTTTCCGCATACCTACTTTGTCAAACGGGAGGTAGCCCACATCTGATAACACCTACAATGTTCAGCGCTGGGCAAAGTAGCGCTGACCAAAGTGAATGGGCTGGACAGACACAATGGCCAGACCTCTATCAAATCTGTAACACTCTGGTAATGTCACTGCTGGCAGCACTCACCCGAAATAAACCATAAAAACGTTTAAACGCAGATCAGGACGCTCCGATGGTTCTAATCAGCACTTGTAGTACACTGACGTACAGCTCCCAGGCCTTCTTGTCCTGTACGGTTGTACGGATTATTTATTACTCTAATAAGGTCCTGTCGACCGAACACCGGTCGGCCTGACGCCCGCAGCATGCCCTTTCCTCCTGAATACCGCGGCGCGGCGGTCATGTCCCGGCCGAGGCGACACGTCAGCGTCTGACAAAGGGTCGGTCAGCTCCTTACACCCGACCCACAGCGCCTGCACGGCGGCCATCATAATTCCCACAGCCGACTGATAGCGCGATATACCAGCGGCGGCACGCAGACGGACGCACGGAGCGACATCTATTGTGGGGAGGAGGAACTACCGACGGAGGCGCACTGGAGTGCAGCTGGTGACTGCCATTCTTGCGCTATATGCGCATCGGCATTTCAGAATCGATGTCAACATACCATCAATGTAGTCATTTACGAAAGAAATCGATGTAGAAGACGACCTTAATTTCTCTAGAAATGAGCAGGACAAGCAACAGCGATGTGAAAAGGGAGAAAAAGGAGAAAATGACCCTTTCGAAACTGCATAATGCCCGCTCCTTTGGGCTTTTGACTATCCAGTATCCAGCGATGGCGAATGGCGATACAATTATAGCCTTGTTTTTGTGACGTGAATTGTTAATAGCGGTGAGCGCAGATTCCCGTTACTTTTCTAAAACATTCATATTTTGGGATATCTTATCCAGCTAGGAGCTGTTGAATATCATAAACATTTTAAATTCTAAGCCTATTGAACACTTCATACTAAATTTGATGGTAATACTTCACATTCTCCGAGCTCCTATCATCTGCAGAACAAAACAACTTGATTTTACAATAGACATATTATTGCAAAATCAAAACACACTAATCGCTATAAAACGCTCTCACCATGACTGACCGCCGTCAGACCCCCTCCCCCGCCGTCCCTGGGCGCGGCGCGTCTCACTTCTCCCAGATGTCGGTGTGGACGCCGCGCGCCCGCTGCCGCGCGCTCTCGGGGGTCAGAGCCTCCTCGGCGCTGGGCTCGCGCGGCTGGCCGCCCTCGGTCAGCGCACCGCGCTCGAAGTCGGCCGTGATCTTGTCGCTGTAGACGGCGTTGAAGAGGTCTCGCGCGGTGAACTCTTCCTGGACCACCTCGGGACAGCGGTAGGAGACGTAGGGCTTCAGCTGCGGGCCGGCGGGCACCGGTCAGACGGGGGACAGGCGAGCGGAGGGCGGCATCAGACACCACAGAGACCTACCGGGACGGTAACACGGTCACGGGGCGGGACCAGAGCGTTATTGAGCTGATAGTCCTTCGTACTGGATGATAATTGATATTACGGGATACCAAAGGCAACTACAATGCAATGAGCAACGGCCGTGGCCATTACCGTTTTTCGTAAAATCGACACTAGGCAATTATCAAATTGGTAAGCTGAAAAGGCATCTGGATCTCCAGACTGTCACCAGATGACATAACTAAAACTAGTTGCACATGCCTCCCATGCCCAGCTGAGCGTTCCACCGACCCGCTCGCTCGTAGGCGCGTCTGCTTACGTTGAAGTCGGTGAGGTCGGGCACCACCAGTTCGGGGATCATCTCGGGCACGGTGATAAAGGTGCTGTCCCCGAGTCGGTGGGCGCCCGTCGGACGGGTGCCGTAGTCTGGGGGTCACAACAAATGGGTCACGAATAGGTCACGGAAACCTCTGCCAAGGGCGGGTCAAAGCGAGAAGGCGAGTAGATGTGTGTAATATTACTAAGGCACAATTAGGATAAAAGGCACTAAAACATGACTTTGATTTATAGGAACCCTGTCGCAAAAAGAAACTGACATCCTGCAGAAGCAAGAGACTGCAGATAAGAGTCATACCAACTCTACTATGAATGCTGAAGTCAGCACAAGAAAGGTGACAACAAATCTATATTCCTTATTTTCATCAGTTATCAACTTGATAAAGTTGGACACATAAATTGCTAAAATTCACAGCCTAAGATTTACCTACCTGGTATGTCAATATCAGGAAACTTTTTCCTAAATGAAACTTCTTTTGCTCTCTCATTCTTAAAGGCAAGAGTTCCTGCCTTGGGTCCAAGCAGAAACTTCCTGAAATTCCTCTTTCCAAGCAGGCTAGCACTGGTATGCAGTGCCCTGCACTGGGCATAGCTGACAAGTGAGGTGGGAATGGGCAACAACATTTATCTTAAAGCTGTGAGCTGTCTGGCACCAGCTCTGCTGCAAAATGAGTTTTTCACTTCCAAACAACCTGAAACATGGCAAAATGACATCAGAATAAATAAATAAGCAGGATTATATACACCGTCGAACAGAGATAAATGGGGCAGTCATTATAGAGTGCAGTGCAAGTGGGCCCGTACTATTAACTTGATTAGTTGCCAGCTAGCGCCATATGGTGGCGCTAGCAGACGGAGCAGAAATCGTAAAATATCAATGCTGGATATAAAAGGCTCAAGGCCAAATCAATAATCAATAATAATAATCAATAATAAATGAAATATCTACTTATTAACTTTTCTATTAGTGCCATTTTACATGTTTATGTCCATATACAACAGTATTAACACCTATATATTACTGGCTATCGTACGTCGCCAGCTGACTGAGCCAGCCGATTGCATCCAGTTGTTAAGGCCCGATAAATGCACTTTCAGTGCTCCAGCACAGCACATCAACATTCAATACAATATGGTGGGCTCAGGGCTGGTGTAAATGCCTAACATGTCACTTGTCGTCTTGTCAGTATACGTTGAACATTGATATCAAATGAATCAATCTGAATATCAAAACAGCACCACACCCAACCATCCCAAATAATGATAGGATTGTCGTACGCCTACAAAATAAAAATAATGGGCCGTATGCCCCTACTTGACTAAAACTTGAACTTGGTCACCGAGTTTAAATTATAAATATTTATTACTGAAAAAAATCGTGAGGCATTGTAACAAAAGCGCAGGATATGAATCAAAAAGAGAAATATGTTCAATATTCGTTTCATAGGCCTACAAAGATAATATTTTGCGAATCAAAATAGGGATTATTGAATCGGCGTCGTTTCATTCGAGCAATTCTGCATAAGCAGCTCTTGGTAGTCATACGCATCAGCTCCAGAACATACTGCGCGTGGCGTGAGAGAGTAGAACACCGCATGATATTTTCGATTTCTTTCGGCGGACGTCGGTGGGTCGTGCGGAGCTCTCTGCGGTTATTTTTCATTTTCCGGCTTTGTCCAGCCTCAAATGTAAGTACCTATACTGACTACAAATATTGCGTTTGCATAAGAATGAATGTTTTAGCTGGAAATGTGAATTGAATGTCATGTCACGGAAAGCGCCCATTTTTCCTCTGCGTTGTTTTGGTTTTGTTGAATGTTGCTTGCCTCTTCAAGCCTTTCCTATGAAAAACATGCTTGATGCTTTATGTTCAGGAATCGTACAGCTGGTGAAGTTGTAGTTAGCAACTAGCATATACAATTCTTGTGTTACTGTCTGTGACCTCCATGAACTTACCTGATTGCAACGTATCTAGGGAATTTCTCAACCGTTGATCTGGCATCTTCATGGGACGCCAGGCTTACTAATACCAAAATGTTTTCATGAGAGATATTATTTTTATTTTTACAATTTTAGCCAGTTAGGCACATATGGGCTCGGGTGTCACAATTACCTTACCTCACCTTACGATAACAGGTTTTTTTAGGCTGTGAGGCCTGTGGAACCCAATCTTGGCGAGCTCCTGAGGTCAAGCATAGCTCAGTCTGTGTTGGAGACAGCACACAACGGTTTTCCAATCAAGGAGAGGCACTTTACCCAGAGATGCTTCTTTCCAAACAAACCAAATGAAAACAAACCTAACCCAACCTCACCTGATCTAACCTACAACCTACAAGCCTACAACACCTTTCCTTGGTTGGAAAACCTTTGTGTGATGTTTGCACTAGTAATCCCCACATATGCTCCTGAAATTCATTTGTTTGTTCTTGAAATTCATTTGTATATTTCTGAAATTCATTTGTTTGAAATCAATCATCAATCAAGAAGTGATTTTTTCCTTTACCTTCCTCTTCTGTACCAGAACTTAAGATATAGAACTTAAAAGTTACATTACAGCTAGCAAAATTGCTTGCATAACATACCTATGCTCCTATTGCATGGTTTCTTACTAGTCCTTTGAAGGTTGGTTCACCATGTTTCTCTTTTTTAACTCTCCCAACCAACTTTTGGTCATATGCCTTTTGATTTTGGAGGGGCACTTTTGAGTATTGACTGTAGAAGACCAGATGGTTGCTGGTATTTTGAGGATGCAGAACACTGGAACCATGGTTTTGTCTAACAGGGTACATTAATTATGTGTCTGAATAGTGAACGTTCTCCTTTAGAACCACGTATTTCCTTTTTCCAGTCAAGATAGGCTTGACCAAGGCCATGACATGCAAGTGAAATCCTGACCTTCCAGTTTGATCTTTGACAAGGGACATATATAACTGAAGGTGTTGTGCAGGTTGGAGTTTTAACAAAGCAGCTGTGTAGTGCTAGATCAGCCTTTGAGTAACCCACTTTGCCAGCTGCAAGTGCTAACATGATCAGTGATATGAATCATCTTTCCATTTGTCAGGGACGCTGAGACCTTGCACGGCATCACTCCAGTGTCAGTATGGCGATAACTGCTTGCAATATACCACTTTCAGGGTTGGCATTTTTGCCGGCAAAAACTAGTTTATGCCATTTGCCGGTTTAAACCGGCTTTAACCGGCAAAAAGTGGCAAAAACTGGCAAAAACTAAAAACCATCACAATGATATGCCTAGACATGGATTTGAATATGAAACATTTTAAGGAGAATTCGGTGAAAGTTTTATGCTTTCAAACAGAAGTGACATTGACCGTTGAAGTGTTCTATAACTCAAAAACACTTTCATGGGCTTTCCATAAGGAACCAGTAAGATGCCTTTTGGAGGTGACAAATGAGCCAGTGCAAGGGTGACTGGGTGAGTCCTGCGCAATCAGAGGTGCGAAGGGGTATCTGCCACTGAGATGCGCACGGCACCCTACCGTGGCAGCTTCGCCCCACTCTCCCCTACATGGAAATGCATTCTGTGGGGGATGTCTACCGACATGCATAGACATTTTAAGCAGGAATAAGTAATGAGGCAAACTTCAGAATGTTTGGTGCATCTCTATAACATCCAGAAATGCATTTGTACATTTCAGATCCATTCCTAACTAGAAAAGTTGTGGTTTGGGCCACCTGAGTTTTATCCAGTTTTGCCAGTTTTTGCCACCGGGGTTTCTGCCAGCCGGTTTAAACCGGTTAAAACCACTGGCAAAAACCAGTTTTTGCCACCCCTTGCCAACCCTGACCACTTTGTAAGCTGACCTATACGATTGGCGTAGCCGATGTACTTTGTCTTTCTGTTGTTTTGTTTTCATCAGTCTGGGCAAGAAACTGGTAATCAAGTGTGAAAGATACGTAAATTTGAACCCACTGACTTCGGGCGATATTGATAGTGGCTTAAAAAAAAAAATCAACGAAAAAGTCGTTAAACTATAGACATGTTCATGACCAGCTGCGGCCCATTACTTCATGGCGCTGTCGTTCACCGGCGAAAATGGATATCCCCTCCCACCATATGTTGGCTTCGTCGATCGTCGGGCCCGGTTGGATGATTATTGATAATGAAGAATGGCGTACCCGTCACCCAGTCCGGTGTCGTAGGTCCATCATTGGCAACCCACCGTAGCCATCCCCCCCCCCCTCCCGTCCCGCCGATCCGCCGCCTCCACTCCTGGCCGTGCTATCAGCTGAGCGGTCGGCCTCCGACCCCCGTACCGGCGGCTGCAGATTGCGCCAGGGACCGGCGAGGGGGGGGGGCTGCTCTGCACCGTTGCTCAGAGCGATTGCGTCACCCGCGTCGGGTCCCACCCGGACGTGGCGTTATGGTTTGGGTGGCGGCGCGGCGGCTGGGTGTGATTGGGGAACGCTGCAGCCCGTCAGCGCTAGAGACGGGGGCGGCGAATGTGTTCAGTTCTCTCAGCCTGTCATATAGGGCAGCGATTGGCCGTGGCGACATAAGACATTGAAGTGGTGAATCAGGCTGGCTGATCAGATGGGCTTTCTGAATTAATCAACGTCAGCTAAGACTTTGTGTATCTGCAGCGCCCTGTCGATGCAAAATGCAAACGCATGTCAGCGGTCGATCTGTTAAAGACGTCGATTCTGTAATGTTGTGTCTCACTTTACCGGCTCTTTACATGCTGACTTTTATGAATGCAATAGACTGAAGCAGCCTTTGTGTAAGGTTTATCCGCAGGATATCAGGTTTATTGGTTGCGCTGTGGTCCAAGTCTTCAGTCATTTCACCGCTTCTGGCAGCTAGCACGGAATGTCTCACCAACATGTTATCGTATCTTCGAGCTTTTAACGATTCTCTCCATTATTGCGACCATTTGTCATGCTTTAATGAACGTCTAGGTGGTTTCTTCCCGGAAGTGTTCTCTTCGATACCGCATTTATGGTTTTATTAAGATGCATTTAATGTAACTGACAAACGCTTCAGTTCAGCTCAGAGTTGAGCAATGTATCGATCTATTACGCAGTCTGTAACCGACGCTCCACCTCATCCCAGAGTTAATGTATGGCTGTATCGTTGTATGTATCGCTGCAGTACGCAGTGTGTGTAACTGGCGCCTCCGCTCCTCAGATCATGGTGCGCTACTGTGAACAGTCTGCCACCTTCAACCACCCGTGGCATCAGGTGGTGCAGGCGTTCTGGGAGCGCTACCCCAACCCGCACAGGTGCGTATGGACGGGGGAGACTGTAGCACTGGGCGGTGTGACTCGCATCCTGCTCATATCGAGCGAGGTTACCCGTATGGTAGAGTGGTCCAGACTGAATATACACTGTCAACTGTGCGCTTGGATGGTACACTGTTTGGTATATACAATTTTTGGTTTCATGTGTACAAAGGCCTTCAGCAAGATGAATACCAAAGTCATATTTCTTTTGGGAATCGTAGAAACGTGAATAAGTTGCTCCTGTGTTAACTTTGCATCGTCCCTCGTGGTGGGGAGAAGTACTGACTCAGCAATGCGTACCAAGGCTCAACAAATCTTGCAGTTTCCGACTTGGCCGCTTGCCCGGTGTTCTGCCCTTGCACCCCGTCTCGGTGTACAGTTTGAGCAGCTGGGTAAATATACCCGCCGCTGCGCTCCCGCTGGTCCTTCCTCACTCCCTCCCCTCCCCTCTGCCCCCCCCCCCCAGCTCTCACGTGCTCACCGAGGACACTGTGGCTCGCCGGCTCGAGGGCGGCTGCCTGCGCTCCAAGCGTATCGTCACAAAGACGAACCGGATGCCCAAGTGGGGTGAGCGGTTCCTCTCTGCGCGCACGGTGGCTGTGCTGGAGGAGTCGGCCTGCGAGCCGGCGCGCCACTCCATGGTCACGCTGACCCGGAACCTGGCGCACACCCACCTGATGGAGGTCACCGAGCGGGTCGAGTACATGCCGCACCCGGACGACCCGCAGCACAAGACGCTGGTGCGGCGCTGCGCCTGGGTCGGATCGCGCGTCTTCGGCTTCGGGTACGCCATCCAGGTGAGGAGAGCGGCGGGGAAAGACATGAGAGAGAGCTTAGGGATGATTCAGGGTGAGAAGAGGGGGCTCACGCTGTGAGGTCGGGGTGACGCCGCTAGTGGAAGTATCATCAGCCCTTTGTCTCCGGTAATGTCCTGGTCGGGCGTGTACCGTGAATGTCCGCTGTCACCGGCCACCCGCTCTTGCATCAATGCTGGAGCGCCAGACAGCTCGGATGCAGCAACCCCGTCAGTTCGGTGGCTGCCCGCCCGAGCTGCGCTGCACCCGGGCGATCAATCAAATGGAATTCG